CGCTGGAGGGCGGCCGCGTGCTGGTGGGCCGGGAGCCGGGCGTCACGTCCGTCGAGGTGAGCCGGTCGGGACGCCGGGGAGCGGACCCCTGGGGAGGGTTGGCGGCCCAGAATGTTCTCGAGCAGCAGTGAAGAGTGTAGGAAGGGCTCAGGGTGTCCCTGGGGTGGAGTGTGCAGTCTAGCCATAAGCTCTGTGGGACCGGGGAGGATGGGGTGACCGTACAAGGGGGGAGGTCCTCTAGACGTGATGGGCTGGGATGTGGTGGGTTGGTGCCAGCTTTTGGGGGAAGCGGGGACTGCCTCGAAATGGGCTGGGGTCCAGGTATGTATAGGGTATACAGCTGGGGCACAGAGGGTGGGGGCAGCAACCTGTGAGCAGAAACCAGTCCTCTTTGGGTGAGGGACTGTCTGTAGAAGGCCTCCCCTCTAGCTCCTTCCACCCTCAGGTGCGATCCCCGCTGTCTGACTCCATTCTGGGCGAGCAGGCGCTGGCTGTGACGGATGACAAGGTCTCAGTGCTGGAGCTACGGGTGCAGCCGGTGATGGGCATCTCACTGGCCCTGAGCCGGGGCACTGCCCACCCTGGAGAGGTCACAGCCACATGCTGGGCACAGTCGGCCCTTCCCGCCCCAAAGCAGGTGACAACTGGGGGACGGGAGGTGAGGCCAGCACCTCCACTTGGGGGCTGATGACGGGGGAGGGGAATGGGAGGAAGGGGGCCCAGATACCTCCACCCCTCACTCCAGGGGTTTCAGAGTGAGGACCGACTTCCCTGTGAGGTAGTGAGCTCGCTGTGGCCGAAGGTGACCAAGCATTGGCTGAGTGTGGCAGTGGGAGGTTGACTAGATGGCTCTGAGGAGCCTCCTGATGACTCAGACCCTGGGGCTGAGTGGCAGACAGGTGATTGACACACGTCCCCTCTCTCCCTGTGTTTTGTCCATCTGCCTGTGTCTGTTTTTCTCTGGTCTCTCCTCCATGTGGCCTGTCTCTGTGGGAGTGGTCTGTGTGTGCATGCGTGCGTGCCCTTGCGTGTCTCTGCCTGTGTCCGTGTGCCCCACAGGAGGTGGCCCTCTCCCTGTGGCTGTCTTTCTCTGACCACACCCTGGCCCCTGCCGAGCTGTACGACCGCCATGACCTGGGACTGTCTGTCTCAGCCGAGGAGCCTGGTGCCATCCTGCCGGCCAAGGAGCAGGGTGCCCAGCTTGGGGTGGTGGTGAGTGGAGCGGGTGCCGAGGGGCTGCCCCTGCACGTGGCTCTGCACCCGCCCGAGCCCTGCCGCCGGGGCCGCCACCGTGTGCCCCTGGCCTCTGGCACTGCCTGGCTGGGGCTGCCCCCTGCCTCCACCCCAGCCCCGGCCCTCCCATCCAGCCCTGCCCGGAGCCCACCAGTCACAGAAGCCAGCACTGGCAGCGAACAGCGCGTGGCTGGCAATGCGGGGGGCAGCGTGGGTGTGAGGGGCAAGTTTGAGCGGGCAGAGGAGGAGGCCAGGAAGGAGGAGGAGGAGAGGGCAGGGACCAGGGAGGGGGAGGAGGAGGAGATGGTTCCTGCCCCTCAGCGAGTCACCGACCTAGAGCTGGGCATGTACGCCCTTCTGGGGGTCTTCTGTGTGGCCATCCTCATCTTCCTGGTCAACGGTGTGGTCTTCGTGCTGCGCTATCAGCGCAAAGAGCCCCCCGACAGTGCCACCGACCCCACCTCCCCCCAGCCCCACAACTGGGTCTGGCTGGGCACAGACCAGGAGGAACTGAGCCGCCAGTTGGACCGGCAGTCCCCTGGCCCGCCCAAGGGGGAGGGGAGTTGTCCCTGCGAGAGCGGGGGAGGAGGGGACGCCCCCACCCCAGCCCCCGGCCCCCCTGGGGACGCCACTGGCGCCTCCAGCACCCTGGCTCGAAAGGAAGCCGGGGGGCGGCGGAAGCGTGTGGAGTTCGTGACGTTCGCGCCAGTCCCCCCAGCCCAGCCGCCTGAGGAGCCTGTGGGGGCCCCCGCCGTGCAGTCCATCCTGGTGGCAGGCGAGGAGGACATCCGTTGGGTGTGTGAGGACATGGGGCTGAAGGACCCCGAGGAGCTTCGCAACTACATGGAGAGGATCCGGGGCAGCTCCTGACCCCTCCCCAGCCCAGGGGGCGGAGATGGGGTCCCCCAAGCCTCTCGTCTGCCCCTTCCGCTCAGCCTCTGGTGCTTGTTTACCCAAGTCCCCTGCCTGGCCCCCTGCAAGGACTCCCACCCAGGCCCCTCTGCCCTGCCCCTTGTCATGGACATGGTCGTGAGGAAGGGCTGTGCCCCTTATTTATGGGAACCATTGCATTCTAATGTTGGGTACAGAATAAACTGAGAAGGAAACCGCCGCCGAGCCTGCTGCTGTCCGTGTCCAGGGACGAGAAGCTGGGTGTGGGGAGCTCTCAGTCCCTGTCCCTGCTGGGACCACTGCGGGAGGCCAGGCCCTGGGACCCCCTCTCGTAGCGACCCGCAATCCAGACGAACAGGAGGACCGTGACGGCCTGAATCCCTGCCAGCAGGAAGAAGTAGAGGTCCATCCGACAGTTGTTGATGTTCCCTGGGGAGAGGAGGAGTGGGCCTTTGGGTCAGTGCAGGGACTCCTGGTCTCGTACCCTCTGCCTGCCGGGCAACGTGGGCACTGGGTGGGATCTGAAGACATTGGGCAAATGTCCCCTTGGTGCCTGCCCCCTGAGGCTCTCGCTGTCTACAGTTCCTCTCTAGCCAGCTGCTCAGAATGGGGATTGGCCAGGTGCAGTGGCTCACCCTTGTCATCCCAGCCCTTTGAGAGGCTGAGGTGGAAGGATTGCATAAGCCCAAGAGTTTTTGAGACCAGCCTGGGCACCAGTGAGCTCTCATCTCTACAAAAAAATTTAAAAATTAGCCTGGAGTGGTAGTGCATGCCTGTAGTCCCAGCTACTTGGGGGGAGGTTGAGGCAGAAGGACTGCCTTGACCCAGGAGGTTGAGATTGACCTGGGCAACATAGTGAGACTTTGTCTCTACAAAAAATATTTTAAAATAGGGTGTGGCTAGGCTCGGTGGCTCAGCCTGTCATCCCAGCACTTTGGGAAGCTGAGGCAAGTTGCCTGAGCCTGTGGGTTTGAGACCCGCCCAGGCAACTTGGCGAGACCTGTCTCTACAATAAATTTTAAAAAATTAGCCAGGCATGGTAGCGCATGCTTGTATTTCCAGCTACTTGGAAGGCTGAGGTGGAAGGATGGCCAGAGCCAGCAGGTTGAGGCTGTGGTGGCCGGGAGCATGCTATTGCACTCCAGTTGGGGCAACAGAGTGAGACTCCAACTCAAAAAAAAAAAAAGGCGTGGTGGTGCGTGTTTGTAGTCCCAGTTGCTTGGGAAGCTGAGGCAGAGGGATTGCCTGAGTCCGGGAAGTTGAGGCTGTGGTAAGCGTGATTGTGCCAGTGCACTCCAGCTGAGGTAACAGAGTAAGGCCCTGACTCTTTTTTTTTTAAGGGAGGGTTTGAAACACAAATACCATGAGAAAGATGACCCTTTAGCCAGAATGGCAGACTTCCAGAAGCAGGAAGGAGCCACTGACTTCAACAGTTGGGGAAACTGAGGCCGAAGGGGGTGGGGCGGGGCGGCTATGCTGTGGGTGACTGGCTGAGTCTGGGCTAGCGCCCCGTTCTCCCAAGTCCAACCCTCTTCCTCACTCTGCCAAGGGTTGAAGCATTCAGTTGCCACTTCCTTTCCAAGCCTCTCCCTGCCCGTGCCCCCCTCCTGGGGAGGCCCCAACACTCACCAAAGTCCTCGGGGCAGTGCAGCCAGCCCCCCGGCAAGGACAGCAGTGCCACGAGGCTGGAGCCCAACAGCGAGCCCACGCCCGACAGGCAGAAGAAGATGCCCATGATGGCGCCCTGCATGGAGCGCGGGGCTTCTGAGTAGGCAAACTCCAGGCCTGCAGAGAGGCAAGAGGGAGGACCACAGGGCTGGGGGAGCATCAGAGAACAGGACCTACAGTCCCCTTTGGCCACCTCCTCCACCAAGCCTCCCTCCAGGCTTCCTCGGATGCCTGTCCCTCGGCTATGATCACCCCCAAGCACCATGATGCTGTGCCCCTGCCCTGCTCATCCACCTCCTGGCTGGACCCTTCCACCTGGACGCCCCGCACATCACCCAAGAGCCCTGTCTCCTCCCTCCCCCTCGTCCTGGGTTTCTCATTTCAGTGACAGCAGCTCCAAGCCGACACCGTCCTCACCCTCTCCCACCCCCTCTGCCCACTGACAGCGTCACTGCCAACTCATTTTGATTCACCCTCCAAAATCTATTCTAAATATAATATGTCCTAGTGCCAGGTGTAGTGGCTCACGCCTGTAATCCCAGCACTTTGGGAGGCCAAGGCGAGAAGATTACTTGAGCCCAGGAGCTGGAGACCAGCCTGGGCAACATTGCAAGGCCCCTGTCTCTACAAAAAACAATTTTTAAAAATTCTCCAGGAGTGGTGGGGCGTGCCTGTAATTCTAGCTACTCAGAAGGCTGAGGCAGAAGGATCACCTGAGCCCAGGAGGCTGAGGCTGCAATGAGCCATGCTTGTGCCACTGTACTCCAGCCTGGGCGACAGAGTGAGAATTTGACTCCAAATAGTAAACATCCTCCTCTCTGTCCCCCTCTACCCTGGGTCCAACCCCAGCCTAGTGGCTTCCTGGTCAGCCCCAGCCAAGGCCTCCTCACCCAGCTGGACAACTCTGAACCATCTCTGCCAGGGTCCTTTCTCTCCCACAACCCCTTGGAGAGTGGAGGAGGGGTGGCGTTTTTTCCCTCAGAAACCTCAAGGCCCTGTGAGAACCCCCCCACACCCCCCATGCCTCTCCACCCCCACCCCCACCCTCCCCACAAGGCTTGGTGCTTTGCTGACACTGGTCCCCTTGCCTGTAAGTCCCTTCTTCCCACCTGTTGAAGCCTAGCTCACCTACCCCCTCCCCACCACACCCAAGGGTTCCCACCCCACTCTGTGGTGCCTTCTACAGCACTCTGGCTTACTATCTGCTTGACCACACCCCCACCACCCCGAGTGAGTGCCCCGGTCCAGTTTGCTCTGAGGTCCCACCCAGCCAAGCCCTGGGCCCGCAGTTGAGGAATCCCCACTAACTCTGGTGACTGAAGGGCGCCCCCCACCACCCCGGCAGTTCTAGCCCCCAGCCTGGGGTGCAGGGGACAGACACAGAAATGCATGAAACTGACAGAGTGCTATGTGCTATGATAGCAAAATGAACACAGGGGATGTCCTCTACCCAGGGGCCTGGGTGTTTAGGCTGGGAGTTGAAGGGGAAAGGGAGTTCCCCTTCCGTGTAAGGTGGAGACAGAAGCAACCACAAAGCCATGGGTGGGGAACCTGGCACCAGGGGACCGGGAAACATGGGAAGTCGGTGTGGGAAGTACCTTGCTCACCTCCAAATGCCCAGAGCCTGTGCTAAATAAACCCTCACTGGGAACATTGCCTCCCTCGGTGCATTCGAGCCCCAGACCGAAAGAGCAGAGGAGAGGGGGACCCGGGGTACCTGGGATGCTGGCAAAAATCTCACTGATCCCAATGAGCAGGTACTGAGGGACCTGCCACCAGATGGTCAGTGGCGCTGCATAGTACAGGTCCTTCCCAATCTGCTGGGTCACGGTCTCGTTGTGGTGGATATAGTGTAAACGCTCCATCTCCAGGACTCCTGGGTGGGGGGGGGGGCAGAGGGAAATTATGGCCGGGCCCACCCCAGGCAGGTCAGCCCACAGCAGAGTTTGGTACCTGGTGGGTACTCACTAAATGTCTAGTAAGGAAGGACAGGTCAAGATTTGAGTTCTGGCCAGGCGCAGTGGCTCAAGCCTGTAGTCCCAGCACTTTGGGAAGCCAAGGCGAGAGCGAGAGGATTGCCTAAGCTCAGGGGTTCGAGACCAGTCTGGGCAACTTGGCGATACCTCGTCTAGACAATAAATCAAAAAATAAGCCGGGCATGGTGGTGCGTGCCTGTAGTTCCAGCTACTTGGAAGGCTGAGGCAGAAGAATCGCCTGAGCCCAGTAGGTCGAGGCTGTGGTAGCCGGGAGTGTGCCACTGCTCTCCGGCCTGGGCGATAGAGTGAGACTCCGACTCAACAGCAACAAGAAAAAAAGATTTGAGTTCCAACCCCTTTGTTGCCTTGGCTGCCAGGAAGCTCAGAGCTAGGTTTTGCACTCGATAACAGTAGCAACTCTCATTTGGGGAGTGCCTGTTATACTTAGTATGCCTTCTTGTAAATGAAGAAAGTGAAATTTAGATGAAGGAACCAGCCAGCCGTCACACTACTCAGCAGGCAAGGCTGAATTTGTGCCCCTGCTATGTCTGGTTTCAAAGTTGGCCTACTTTGCTCGGTATCACATGACCTCTTTCCTGCAACGTCAAGTATTGCTGTGGTGTTTCTAACCTGGCTTTTACATTTAACTATTTTTTCTCCTTCCCCTTCATTGCTCAGGAGACAACTGTGCTCTTGCTGGACACAGAGTTAGAGAACTTGGGTTCCAGTCCTGGCCCTGCCACTGGCTAGCTGTGTGACCTTGGGCTAGCCATTTAACCTCTCTGAGACCCAGTTACCTTATGCAAAAAGCAAGAAGACTGGGCACGGTGACTCAAGCCTGTAATCCCAGCACTTTGGGAAGCCAAGGCAAGAGGATTGCCTGAGTCTAGGGATTCGAGACCAGCCTGGGCAACATGGCAAGACTTCATCTCTACAATAAACCAAAAAATTAGCCGGGCATGGTGGCACATGCCTCTAGTTCCAGCTACTTGGAAGCCTGAAGTGGAAGGATTGCCTTAGCCCAGCAGGTCGAGGCTGTGGTGGCCGTGTGCATGCCATGGCACTCTAACCTAGCGACAGTGAGACTCCAAATCAAAAAAAGAAAAAAAAGAAGAAGGAATATTGTGAGGATGAAATAGGACAGAATGCATGAAAGCATAGAGCTGAAGAATCTAGCTTGCTTTTTATACGTCCGACGTGATCGTGTTTATGGAACTTTGGTTTCTCCAGCTCCTACGTGTGACCCAGGCATATTCCTGAGCGATTTACGGACTCCGTCGCCTTTCACTCTCATGACGCCCCCCATTAGCCTGAGTTCCATGAGGGCAGAGCCTGGCCTTGCACAGGGTAGCCCCATAGGACAGAAACAGCCCAGAGACCCTAAGCAACTTTAGGATCAGAGTTCCTAAGTTTACTTAACAGCGGGAAAGACTTCTTTAGCTTCGCCATGTATGCATTTATCTACAAACGGCTTCAAATCCTTCTGAAGTAACTCCCTTCCTTCTTATTAGAAGGAAGATACTTTTTAAAAAAGTCTCTGTCACTAAGCAGCTACGCACATCTTTAGAAAATTAATTCAACACATTTATTCAGGGCCCACGGGCATGATTCCCAGCAGTGAATAAAAAAGAAAAAAAGGCCAGGTGTGGTGGCTCAAGCTTATAATCCCAGTACTTTGGGAGACCGAGGTGAGAGGACTGCCTGGGCCTACAGGTTCAAGACCTGCCCGGGCAACTTGGCAAGACCTCGTCTCTACAATAAGTCAAAAAATTAGCCAGGTGTGGTAGCGCACGCCTGTAGTTCTGGCTACTTGGAAAGCAGAGGTGGAAGGATCGCCGGAGCCCAGCAGGTCGATGCTGGGGTGGCCAGAAGCATGCCACTGCACTCCAGCCTGCGTGAAGGAGTGAGACTCCAACTCAAAAAAAAAGAAAAAGAAAAAAACAACAACCCTGCTTTCACGGAGCTTGTATCTCACTGAAGAAAATATGTGTTCCTCTCTCAGCCTGTTTCTCCATCTGTCACAATGAGGGAAGGCGGGATAAGATTAGAAGAGGCTCCAGTAGTTTGCACCTTCTGGGAAGCCAACGCTTGACACCCGCTGGTGGAACCACAGCTTCAACATCAACCCACAGTGGAGCACCCCCCGACCCAGAGAGCCAAAGGCCAGTCCCCTGCCCCACACCCCTCCACACACCTGCTGCAATGACAGAGGTGAAACCAAAGAACATTCCTAGCGCCATCTTCTGCAGAGCTGAGGGAAGCAGCTTGCATCGTGACAGTAAAGGGTCGATCAAGTGGTCCTTCAGAGGGACCAGAATCAGCACCACCAATACATTGGCCAGGAGGAGCCAGGCTTCTGGGATCTGAGCAGGAGAAAGTCAAGAGAGGCAGGCTAGGCTGGGCATGGTGGCTCATGCCTGTCATTCCAGCACTTTGGGAGGCCAAGACGGGAGGATCGCTTGAGACCAGGAGCTCAAGACCAGCAGCCTTGGCAACATAGTGAGACCTCTACAAAAAAATAAACACTTGGCCAGGAGTGGTGGCAGCACCTGTAGTCACAGATACTAGGGAGGCTGAGGCCGAAGGATCACTTGAGCCCAGGAGATCGAGGCTGCAGTGAGCCACGTTGTACCACTGCACTCCAGCCTGGGCTATGGAATGAGACCCCAACTCAAAAACTAAAGAGGGGGGAGGTGCTAACATATCTGAAGAAACTCTGGGCTGCAGTTGGGAGACCTGGACTCCAGACTGTCCCTGGGTGGCCCGAGGTCAGCTCCTTCCCCTCCCTAGAACTCACATTCCTCAGCTGTGTAACTAGGGGGGTTGGGGTTAGATCAGGGCTGGCAAACAGGTTACCTTAGATGATAACTTCTATCCCTTGGTAGTGACTGCTGGGAACATTTATGGGCTTAGCATTAAAAAAGACATGATCGAGCCAGGTTCGGTGGCTCACGTCTGTAATCCCAGCACTTTGGGAGGTGGAGGTGAGAGGATTACCTGAGCCCACGGGTTTGGGACCAGTCTGGACAACATGGTGAGACCTCATCTTTACAATAAATCAAAAAAGAAGCTGGGTGACAGGGTGAGACTCTGACTCAAAAAAAAAAAAAAAATAGGCCGGGCTCGGTGGCTCTGATAAATAAATGTATGTCATGATTGATTAGTGATGTCTGCCACGGGCAAGGAAACGGAGCACAATGGCAAATGTGTCATTTATCTGCCAGCTCTGATGTTCTCTTATTTTACAAGTCTCTGAATTGCTAAGGAACTAGTTTAAAAAGTTCCAGTGAAGCCGGGCTCGGTGGCTCACCCTGTAACCCTGCGCTTTGGGAGGCTAAGGTGAGTGGATTGCCTGAGCCCACGAGTTCAAGACCCGCCTGGGCAACTTGGCGAGACCTCATCTCTACAATAAATCAAAAAATTAACTGGGCGTGGTAGCGCGCACCTGTAGTTCCAGCTACTCGGAAGGCCAAGGCGGAAGGATCGCCGAGGCCCAGCAGGTCGAGGCTGCGGTGGCCGGGAGCGGCCACTCCAGTCTGGGCGACAGAGTGAGAGACTTCAGCTCAAAAAAAAATAAAAGTTCCAGCGAAAGGCAGAGATCGAGGTATCCAAGGGTCCCAGAGAAAGAGCTGAACAGTGACCCACGTGTGCTCAGTCTGGGGGTACAAACTGAGCAGCGAGGCCTGCTTCAGGGCGGCCGCGTGTGGGAGTGAAGCTGACCTGAATTCTTCTGAGCACCTGAGCATCTTGGCAGGATGCCTAGGTAGGCAGTGGCACCAGCCTGCCCGCCCTCCAGGTGCTTTTCCTGTATCCTGACATCCCCTGGGGTTAGGGAAGGGGAGGGTGAAGGCAGCCCTGTTTCCCCCTCAGCCTGGCCTGAACCGGGCACCGAACACGTGCTTGTTCTCTCACCGTGTAGTTGTCGCCCCAGGATCGCAGGGTCAGGGAGCTGTTGGCAGGGTTGGCTGGGAAAATGTTCGGGATGTGGAGGTGAAGGCCTTGCAGGACATAGGTGGACTGCATCTGTCGAGAGAGATGGAGGTGGGGCTGGACCAGAACTGGCCACGCCCCCTCTGGCCCTGGGAAGCTTCCCTCCCCCAAACTCCCAGGAGAGCATCCCTCAGCGGGAACACAGGGCCACTGAGCCGGTTCCCTCTCCCAGCCTCAGGAGGACAGCCACCTTCCCCATCTCATCTTTCCCCTGGCTGGCCGGGGCACTTCCTACCCTCTGCTCCCAGGCCTGTGAGTGGGGCGTGCAGCCATGTCCTGGGGCTGGGCACAGCTGGCCTGACTCATTTCTGCGTCTCCAGGGCCCGGGCAAGGAAGCGTGGGTAAATGTTTGTTGAAACAGGGGAGATAATGACATGGCTGTCCCCAGGGGAGTTCTCAGCTGACAGTGAAGCCAAGCTGAGCCCCACAAGTGGAGCCAGGATCAGCATGGGCACGGACCCACCAGAACGCCACCGGGGCATGGTGGCGGGGTGGGGGGCACTGCCCTACCAAGCGCTAACCCCTTTTGTTGTTATCTACTGGTGGTGGAGGGGCAGGAGACTCCCACAGGAGGGGCTGGGACAGCGCTGACATGGAAGGATGTCAGTATTCTGACTGGTAGGACGGAATCAGCCAGGGACAACTCCCCCGCCCATGTCCCTGTCTCATCACAGAGACACTGTGCCACCCTTAAGAGCAGGCTAGGCTCAGCCTGTAATCCCGCGCTTTGGGAGGCTGAGGTGAGTGGATGGCCTGAGCCCGCGGGTTCGAGACACGCCTGGGCAACTTAGTGAGACCTCAT